TTCCTGCTGCTAGGGGAGGGGGAAGCTTGGCGGGCTGAGGCACCACCCCCTATAGGGGGTGGTGGCTGAGGTCAGGCCTTGCCATGGGTTCCGGGGATGGGCGGGACAGGGGAGAAGGCTCACCTGCGGGCTCACCTGCGGGTGCTTCTCCCGTGGAGTGTCCCCCCCCCCGCGAGTATCGTGGGTCCGCCTCTTGTGCTTTCTAATTCGGGATTCCCCGTTACTCATTGCTGACCTGTGACTTTTCATGGTATCAGTTGTACATTTTTCCTGCCAAAGTTGATTAGTTTTTTCTTCCATAAATGAAATCACATGTCTCTATGTACCCATGTGCTGCAGAGAAGGGTGTGATGGGTGGTGATATAAACACCATAATGACATCATGGATTCCCATGTTGTAGTGTGTAATTCCAGAACTACTGGGTGGGGATGGGGACTGCTAGACCATTCAAACTATAGATGAACACAAACATTTTCAGAGTACTGCAAACTAATGCACAAAACTGGGGAAGTAGCAGTTTTCTACAAGAAAGAAAAAAATCAACAGTGGATGAATTGTGACTTCCAGTGGGTGGATCAGCGATGGCGGTCGCTCTCCTCGAAGCTCGAGGAGGCAACTAGCAAACCTTCGGCTTTGAGGGGTGCCACTTCAAGTGGCAATCCCATGGAACCCTTGCGGTGGGTTCCAAGCCAGAAGGCTTTTGAGGGTTAGCCTCTTCGATGGCTCAAAGCCATGGAATAGAGGCTTCCCTCCGCCCTGATGGTCAAGCCGATGGGTGACCTATGGGTGTAAGCCAATCTGACCGGGACAAGTGGAGGAGATCAAGCGGAATAGTGATGGAAGAGAGCGAGGTCAGAAGTGACCAACAATGAACGTGAGTGGGAGATAAACAGATTGTTTTTGTAAAGTGAAGCCCCACCCCCTGTGGAGAAAGCGGAGTGCAGGGAGGGATGCCTCCTGAGAGATTGAATAGATCAAAGAAGCGAAGGGGGGAAGAGGGGAGAGAAACAGCATTACATTTTGAGAGACTTACTTGAGCTTGGATAGAGAAACGGTGAGTCTTTCGAGCTCTGAAATAGAGGTGTTGAATTGTAAACAAAGAGAGAACATGGCGGTTCCACGAGGGAAAATAAAACCGAAAGGCAGCCAGAGTCCAAGATCGGAAGGTGGAGCAGGCAACTGAGAAGCTGGTAGAGATGGACACCGGGAACAAAAAGATGAGGAAAAGAGTGACAGAGGTGGAAATAAAACAAAAGCTGCAGGAAAACCGTTTAC